CCCAGCCCTGGACTTCTGCTCACGATTCCCAGGGCTGTTAGGGACTTGCCCTGCATGTGACAGAGCCACCAGAGCCCTTTATTGTGGCCCCAGGGCCCCTCCCCCAGCCCAGCCTGAGTAATTCAATATGCAACAAAACTCGAATAATCTTCTGCTTTCAAACTCTATTTGTCTTGAATGGCGGCCAAGCCCGCGCTCCGTTTAGCTCCAGCCTCTTCGGAGAGTTATTCCGTCTCCTCCTACACGGCCCTTATCTACATCCCGGGAGCCAGCACCAGCGCCATGACTTCACTCCCCGTTCCTGCGGGGACACGGCACAACCCTCCCCAGGGAACGGCGCCCTGCCCCCCAAACCCTCTTCCAGCCAGGGACCTCGGAGCATCTTGCAGAGCGCCTTCACCCACCACCAAGATGCAGCCACCTCTGGGCTGAGAAGTGGCAGCTGATTAACAGCCATACAACACCTCAGGACAGGAAGTGGGCTACCACCCACAGGGGGGGTTTAGGAAGGCAGAGTCGCTTGGAGCTGGAGTCTGGCCAGGGCACTGGGGGTTAGACCCCCGACTCCCAGGCAGGATCCTCGGTGGCCACTCACAGTCAGGTCAGGATCTTGGTTCTCCGCCTCAGCCCACAGTCAGCACCTTCCTCAGCGCAGGGCCCTGCAGCACGGGGGGTCTGCGTCTGCCGCCGGCTCCCCAGGCCGCAGGGTCACCCAGCCTGCACCTGCTTAGCCCAGGACAGCGGATGGCAGCGCAGCCTGACCCAGAGATGAAGGGCAGAACTGAAACCAGCCCTGCGGGGAGGTGTGAGGGGCGGTGCTGGGGTGCCCCGATGCTATTCGGGGTGTTTGTCTTATACAGGCACCTAGGACACCCCCCGTCACCCCAACCCCGACACACAAACAGGCGGGCCCAGCCGGGCTCCTCTCCACAGGCCCCGGGGCCAGTCCTGGGGGGCCACCAGCCCCATGGCGGGGGGAGCGGCCCGTTTCCCCCCAGATTAACCCCGGGGCCCGGCTGCGGGGCTCCTGCGAGCTTCCCGGGGGCGGATACCCCCGTCCCCCCCGCGGTCCCGGGAGAGTCTCTCCAGCCCAGCCCGCTCTGCGGGTCCCCCCCGCCCCGGGCTCGCCAGGCTCCTGCGCCGCGCCAGGGCCCCGCCAGCGCCCCCCTCTCCAGACAGCGCGGCCTGCGCCCCTGCCCTGCGGCGCCCCGGGGAGCCCCCCGGAGCCCCAGCCCAAGGCACCGGACCCCCGCCGCTCACCTCCCGTCCTGCGCCGCCGCCTGTCCCCGGCCGATCCCGGCCCCGCGGGCTGATCCCGGCCCCGGCTCCGGCTAGTCGCTGGCCGAGCCTCGCTCCATGGCGCTGCTGGGCTGGGCCGGGCCGGGCCGGGCCCTCCCGTCGCTGTCCGGGGTGAACGCCCTCTAGCCCGGATCCACAAGCTCGCTCCGCTCCGCTCCCGGCGCTCGGTGCGCTCCGCGGGGCTCGCCAGCCAGGCGGCCTTAAAGGCGCAGGGGCCCTTTCGCCTCCCCCCACCCCGCCGCGATGGGATGCGGGGGCCGCGGAATAGTTCACTGGGGGGAGGCGCGCGCACACACACACAGAGGCTGCAACACACACACGTGTACACACACACAGCCAGCAACACACACATATATACACACACACACCGAGGCAGCAACACACACGTACACAGCCAGCAACACACACACATATATACACACACATATACACACACACCCCGAGCCAGCAACACACGTGTACACACAGCCAGCAACACACACACAGCAACACACACAGCTAGCAACACACACATATATACACACACACACCCCGAGCCAGCAACACACGTGTACACACAGACCCACGCAAAGCCAGCAACACCCATGTACACACACATACACAGAGCCCGCACGTGTACCAACAAACACACGGAGGAGCTGAGATGCCAAAGGAAAGATCAGCTCTCCCAGTTTGCACTGGAGCCAGGACTGGTGTGTGCTGGTGCCCAAAGCACCCGCTGCCCTGCGGGGTCCTTGGGGCGCCGTGTTAGATGCATAACCCCCATGCCCCCAACCCAGAGCCCTCTGGTATATCTATTAATGGGAGAACCCCAATAACCCCCCATGCCCACAACCCAGCAGACCCTTGTAATATACATGGTCAGCATCCAACCCACCGATGGGCCCCCTGCCCCAAACAGGGGAGCCCTAGAACACCCCCCGTCCCCCAGTGAACGCACCCCTGTAATACCCATGGAGCAAGGGTTCACCTTGTTCCCCTGGCCTGGGGGCTGCCTTTGGGGAATCTCTAGTTCTGGGGCAGTGCCCACTCCCTGGCCTGGCTCCCCAGTGTGGCTCTGTTCTTTATTAACTGGGTCCTAGGCATGCAGGTCAGAGGGAAACCGACCCAGTTCTGCTCCCCGGCATTAATGAGGCCTGCACGCAGCATTCTGGCTCTAGAGCCTGAATCCAGCCCAGATCCTCGGGGGAGACAGGCTTAATGATTAATTACCGACGAATTCCAGCGGCTCCTGGGTGCCAGGAGGTCTCCGCCGTGCTGTGCCGTGCCGCTCTGGGGGTTGGCACCACTTTCTAGGGCACAGCCCATCTCAGTGCCTCGCCATCCCCCGCCCCGCACTCCCTGCAGATTGGCTTTGCCACAGATAATGCTGTGAAAATCTTCTTACACGCACTTCTTCCAGCTGCCAGGCTGCTCCAGGAGCGATTCCCCGGAGCCGGGGCCTTTGGGCTCACATGGGCGGCGTTATTTATTTATTTATGTATTTCTTTCCCTTCCTTCCTTCCTTCCTAAACTCCCATTGCATCAGATTCTGGTGCATGGGATCTGGGCAGGGGAATCACGTGGGTGACATTAACCCTTTCAGGACCCCGACGGGAAAATGAAAAACCAATGGGCTTCCCCACAAGACAACAGGGAACCGAACCCAGGAGTCCGGACTCCATGGCCTATGTTCTAACCCACTAGACCCCCTACCCTGCCAGGCTTGGAATTCTGTGCGTGTGCCCTGCCATCATTAACAATCCTGTGGCACCTTTTCCAAAGGAGACATGCTTGGCCGGGTGTCCTGGGCAAACATAGCACCCTTCATTCCAGTTCCCCCTGGAATTCTCTCCCACTCCCTGATTGAAGCTGTTGCTGTGTGCTGTTAAAAGCTGCTGTGGCCCTGCCTAGAAGAGGCTGCATTTCAGCGGCAGGCGAGGCAATTCCTGCACATAGTTCAGCTATCAGCGCCTTACCTTTGTAAAGCTCTCTGGGATTAATTATTACAATGGTATTTTCATTGCCAGGTTCCAGAGCAGTGATAAGCTAACACATCTCCAAGCACCCAACACTTATTAACTAAGCTTCCCCCGCACCAGGAGGTGGATACAACCATTCCCATTGTAGAGGGGTAAACTGAGGCAGGGGACGGTGCCGTGACTTGCCCAAGGTGCAGTAAATCAGCGGCAGAGCTGCAGCAAGAACCCAGGAGCCCTGTAGTTCAGCTGTTACTATGTCCCTGCAGTTTCGGTTGCCAGATGCCAGCAGCCTGGAGACAGTGCCCGGGGACCGGGAAGGGAAACAGGAGTGAAATGGGCAGGGGTCCGTGCGGGGGAGGTGACTCCGGATTTACTCCAGGGCAACTGAGCTCCGAATCCAGCCCGGAGCCCGTTGCAGTCAGTGGGTGACTCCAGATTTCCTGGCTCTGGCCCGATTTACGTTAGAGTCGGCTGGGAACGATTCAGATGCAAACCCCCCGGTTAGCTCTGAAATCCACCCAGCTCCCTGCGGCCAAGAAGCCCAGGTCCAAACCGACCTGCGCTCCGCAGGATCCCGTCCTGGGTCGGAATCACACAGCGTGAGCTGAAAGCCCGCTGCAAACACCCTCACATTACAGACAGGGAAACTAAGGCACAGAGCACCCCCTGCCAGGAGAGCCCCGCCCCCCAGCCAGCCCTCCTGCCCCGCTCCCCACAGCACCCCCTGTGGGAGAGGCCGGGGATGGACTAGCCGGAGCTTTCTGCCGCCTGGTTTCAGACCTTTCAGAGCCGGGTCAGCCCCAGACTGGGCCTCCCCAGGCGCCCTCCCCCATATGCCCCCGCCCCCCGCCACGCCCAGCCCCCTGGGCACCAAGAATAGCACTTAGGTTATCAGCACCCAACTTCCATTGGGCTTCCCATCGCCTAGCAACAGACCTGTCACCGGCTCTGCCTCCGATTTGAGTGATCCAAATTATGCTGTAAACAAAGTTGCCATGGCAACCCCTGGAAGGGGGGTGAAAGTTCACAGGCAAAAAAATACAATGTTCCAGGATGTGATGGGGGGAGGGGCTACAGCCAGCACCAGCGGGCGCTGGACGGGAGACGGGGTCTTCAGCATCTCCTCCAAGGCTCCTTCAGGGAGGGAAGTGGGGTCTAGGGATCAAAGCAGGCAGCCGGGAGCCAGGATGCCTGGGTTCTATTCCCGGCCTCACTGTTCAACCGTAGACAAGTCACTTCATGCCCTCTATGTGCCTCAGTTTCCCCAGCTGTGAAATGGGAATCACACGACTGACTCCCCTGTGCGCGGGCTTTGGGACACAAGCAGCCTGGGACAGCAGCTGCCCCTCCCAGAGCCAACAGCTGGAACTGCCAGCGCCCCGAGCGTGTCGCACTGCCCATCTCTGCCTCCAAGGGGGGGAATAGTGTGTGTGTTTGCACACGTGCACGACGGTGTGTGACCGTGTGCATGGGTGACTTGTGCGTTTCCAAGGCTGGAGTAGAGGCCGGAGCCCAGAGTTCCCCCTGGGAGGGCTGCTGGGCCCAGCGGCTGAGGGAGCTCCCATTGGAAGTCTGGCTCTAAGGACTGGCCCCGAGCTGCAGCGTGGGGGCGGGGGTGGGTGCATGCCAGGCAGAGAGGGTGGCCTTGCACTGGCCCAGCTGCGCCAGGGTCTGAGAGCTGATTTCAAAGGTTCCTGCGCCCTCTGGTGGCGTCTCCCAGCTGCAAGGCCGGGACCGGTCGGGCTAGGGGTGCCCCTTTGAGGTACAAGCACCAGGACCCCCAGGATGACGGGGAGCCCCTAGAATGGGGCAGCCGGCAGCGTGCGCTGAGCATCCCGACGGCGTTCCTAGAACAGCTAAGGGGTGATCCTGGGCGAAGCCCAGCGCCAGGGGCGACCCAGCCCAGCCTCGGCCTGCCAGTGCCGCTGGCTCTCAGCACAGCCCCCCGAGACCAGCCCAGTGGATCCTGCCTCAGGGCGGCTGTAACAGCAGGTGGGGAAAAGGTGGGGGAGGGCACTGCCAGCCCTGAGGGGCTCCCCTGGGGGTGTCACAAAGAACACATGGGCTCTGCAGGTATGTGCATGCGAATAAGCCCCACGGTGCACATGCAAACACATACACGCACACACCCCATGAACACACTCTCCACCGCACACACACCTGCACAAGTCTATACAAAAGCAAAGAAGCCCTGCCTTGCACACTCATGCAGGTACACGCCTGTGTGTGTGACACACGACCACACAACATGGCCATGCACACACACACACACACACACACACCCTTCCTTCCCCTCTTCAGTCCCTCCTGGCAGCTCTTCTCCACAAATGCCCTGGCATCATGTGACCCTTTGCTTTGCCCAATTGCTCATTCAAAGAGACCCTCCCCCTCCACTCCTCTGCCCCATGCCTGCCCCACACACATGGGAGCTGGCTCCTGCCCAGGGCTTCACCTCCCCGATGGCTCAGTATCCCCCAGCCACGTCCACAGCCAGGGGGACCAGCCCGGGCAGAGCAGGGGGCTCTCTGCACAAGAAGGATGCAGGGGTGGGGGGTGAAGAATGAACGAACAAATGGACGTGTCCCCCGAAAGGCTCAGCACTGTCTGGCCAGCTCCTTGGCTGGTTCCCGGCCCCTGCCCGCCCCCTGCCCAGCTCTCGCCCCCACACCTAACTGGAAACAGGCGCCTTCGCCCGGCTGGGCCCAAGTGGTTCTGGGAGCCCAGCAGAGGCCAGAAGCTACCACCTGCCAGCCAGAGCCCAGCTCAGGGTCCCCCCATGCAGGGGTCCCCCCGCCCGGCCCGCCAGGGCCCAGCTCAGGGTCCCCCCATGCAGGGGTCCCCCCGCCAGGGCCCAGCTCAGGGTCCCCCCATCCAGGGGTCCCCCCACCAGGGGTCCCCCCGCCCGGCCCGCCAGGGCCCAGCTCAGGGGTCCCCCCCATCCAGGGGTCCCGCCACCAGGGCCCAGCTGAGGGGTCCCTGGGCTGGCTGGGGGGAGGGCACAGCTCCGACCCCACGGGGATGGGCGGGGGACGAGCCCCTGGGCCCCGAGAAGGGGAGGGGCAGCGACAGACGGGAAAAGCCCCAGCGAGCCGCTGTGATGCCGAGCGGGAGGCAGAGCCAGCGACCCCGGCGCGCCGCCTTCCCCCGCCGCCGCGGGCCAGGGCCCGGTGCCGCGGAGATGTCGAGCCCCGGCGAGCCTGCAGCAGCCGCCTCCCCCGCAGCCTTTCAGGTGAGCAGAGCCCCCCCCCCCCGGGCATTTAACTCTCTGCAGCCCGGGCTGCAGGCTGAGGGCCGGGGGGGGGCACAGAGGGTCTCGCCCCCCACCCTGCGCAATGCTGCGGCTGGGCTCCAGGCCCCTGCTGCGCCCCCCCGGTCTGTCATCCCGTCTCCCCACAGACCCCCGGAAGCTCCACAAACACAAGAGCTGCTTCAAGCGCTCGGATGGCAGCACCTCTTCCGACACCACCTCCAGCTTCCTCAAGAGGCAGGTGCGAATCCGGCGGGGGGTGTGTGTGTGACCAAGTGGGACTGTTCTTAATGTTTCCTCTGAATACTGGGTGGGTGCCTCAGTTTCCCCTATGCATTTCTTAAGTCTCTAGGTGGTGGGGAAAGGCCAGTGTGCATAAATCACTGACACTGTCTCCCTGGCAACAAATGGCCAGGGCCCCTTCCCCTCCTGCAAGGAAATAGCTAAAGGTGAACAAAGAGATCAGGTGACCTCCTGGCCCAGGAAAGAGACAAAGCCGGGAGAAGGAGGGGCTGGAGGGGGTTTGAGAGTTGGAGCTGGCTGGGGACGAGGAGTGAGGGCAGACGGGGGTGTCTGGCTCTCTGAACCCCATAATGGACCCGGCCGAGGGGTCCCGTTCGCTGCTGTACCTACAAGCTCTGTTTTAGACCGTGTTCCTGTCATCTAACAAACCTCTGTGTTACTGGCTGGCTGAGAGTCACGTCTGACTGCGAAGTGGGGGTGCAGGACCCTATGGCTTCCCCAGGACCCCGCCTGGGCGGACTCGCTGTGGGAAGCGCACGGAGGGGCATATGCTGAATGCTCCCAGGAGAGACCCAGGAGGTGAAGCCGTGTGAGCGTCATGCCCTGAAGACAGTCTGCTCCGAGGGAGAGGAGGCTCCCCAAAGTCCTGCCTGGCTTTGTGGGGAGCAGTTCCAGAGCATCGCCCGGGGACTCCGTGACAGGGGGCTCCTGGGGGAAGCCCAGGGCAGGGGGAGAGGAGGGAATTCTGTCATGGAGACCTGGGGGGTGCTGAGCGGGGTGGGCGTGGCCAGGGCACTGATCGGGGGAGCAGGCGGAGAGGAAGGGGGCAAGGAGCACTCTGGGGACTGGGCGTTACTGCAGCCCAAGGCCCAGGTGGCAGTGGCTCCCTCCGGGGCGATCCCCACACTCCAGGGACATAGAGTGGGCAGGGCCAGGGGCCCCAGCAGAGGGGCCCTGCCATGCTGGGTGGGGCAGCTGACACCCTACACCTCTTGCCCTAGGGTCCTCACTGCACCAGAAGGACGGACCTGCCCCACGGGAGCCTGGCACTGCTGCCAGCACCTGCGCAGCCAGCAGCCTCCTAAAGCCCGGGGGGAGGCAACCCCCAGGCAGCCGGTCTGGGACACAGAGAGCTGTGGTCGCTATAGGCATTGTCACAGCACCGCCTCCGTTCAGGGGGTACTCATCTAGCACTGAAATGCAGCCACCTCTGGGGTGGGATGTGGCAGCTCCTGAACAGCAGTGTAGGGCAGGATGCAAAGAAGAATTCGGTATCCAGTTGAAACCGTGGGCACCCGTCTGGGCTAGAACAGAGTCAGCGGGGCTAGAACGTAGGCAGGACACTGGGCTTCGCGCTCAGACTCTTGGGGGCAGGTGCCAGGGGGTCTAACCTCCCCAGGGGTCAGAGCCCTGCCATGCTCCACAGAGAGCAGCCCCCGGCGCTCTGCTGGGCTCTCGGCTTGGGACAGATAGATTGGCCCCAAGCCACGGAGCTGGTGCCAGTGGCGTGTTGCGGGCAAGGAGCAGAACCGGGCGGTAGCAGCATGATGGGCGTGCGAGGGTACGGCGCTGGGTCTCCTAGGCATGGGTTTCTGTCTGCATCTGCCTCCGGTGCACGTATCGTCCACGTGCAGGGCTGTGTTGGGGGTGGGGCGGCACTCACACACTCACTGGGCAGCCCCCCCCACACACACGGGTGCCAGCCTCTCTCGGCCGCCCACATGGAGCTGCTGCATGGTATGAGCAGCTGTCGCTACCAGACACATGCCCCCCCCCCCCCGGTCCTGGCGCCTCTGACACAAACATACCCCCCCACACACACCCCCAGCAGCTGCACGGGGGCTGGGGCTCGGATCCCTCTGCTGCCCCAGGACTCGGGCCCTAGATCGGGGGCTGCTCCCCTCTGCTCTGCTGGGGTCACTCCTGTCCCTGGCTGCCCTTCCCCTGCAGCCCCACCCCCATCCCCGTGCCTGGCTGGTGCGTTTTGCTGGCCTGGGCGGGGGTGGGTTTGCAGGCGCCCAGGGGAAGGCATCTCTGCAAATCTGCCTGGCAGCTCCTCAATAATTCATACGCTGCTGGAGCGCTCGCAAGATGCCCTAATTCTGAGACCTGTTCAGCTGCGGGAGACGCCCTGGCCTGTCCCCTGCCAGGGGGGAGGGGGCCCTGCTCACCCCACCAAGCCCCCCTCCCACTCTCCCCCATACTGCCCACTGCAGAGGGGCTCTGAAATATTTCCAGAGGTAGGAGCCAGCAAGTCCTGTCGTCCCCGTGACGGGATCCTGCCGCATCGGGGCGGGAGGGGGGGATCTGCCACTGTCATAGGGGGCATGGGTATGTGTCAGAGACAGACGGATGGACGCAGGGCCAGATCCCACTCTCAGCTGCACAGATGTAAATCTGGAACACTGCCCCTGCCACAGCAGGGAGCCCAGGGCAGAGTCTGGTGCATTGAGCAGAGACCATAGCCCGTGGGCCCTCTACAAATCCGGGGGCGCGGGGGCGGGGGCAGCAGCTTAGAGCAGGGGGATAGGCAGCATTTTCCTCCCAACGGCCCCCCAGTTCTCCCCACCCAGCATCTCACTCACACCCAGGGTTTGTATTTGTGGGGGGAAACCGGCTCTTTGCCTTTCCTATTGGAGCATTGAGTTATCACCCGCATTCCAGCCTGGCCTTGGGAGGAGAGCAGCAAGGGGAGAACCCAGGAGTCCTGGCTTCCAATCCCCACCTCTGACTACTAGAGGCAGGTTTCCTTCCAGCCCCCCTGCTCTAAACACCAGACCCCACTTCCTCCTCCAGAGCCAGGGAGAGAGAGAAGCCGGGAGTCCTGGCTCCCACCCCCTGCTCTAACCACTAGACTCCCCTCCCCTCCCAGAGCTGGGGAGAGAGAGAGAACCCAGGAGTCCTGGCTTCCAGCCCCTGCTCTAACACCCCTTCCCGCATTACCAAGGACATGAGCAATGGCTTATCCCTCAAGCCCGGGGCCAGGCGCAGATGCTTGGATGTGGGGGCGGAATTGGGAGCTGCGGCAGTGCCAGGAGCCCTGTGCTGGGTGCGAATTTTGCGCTGGACCCCGGGTGCTACGAGGAGACAGCCCCCCCCCCACCCCCAATACTGGGAACATCAGCAAGAAGCTCTCCCCAGACCTAGCTATATATAGAGGCAGTGCTGCGTCAGGGGAAGCCGGCAGAAACGCTGAATGCTCTGAAATTCCAGCTCCCCTGGCAGCGAGGGAGGGAAGGACTCGGGTCACGGGCCATCCCCAGGTGGGTAAGAACCACTCGGGGGCTGGGATGCTCCAGGGTCCTGGAGGAATGCACCAAGGGCCGTCCTGGGCCCAGGGTGCCGGACTGCTAACCTGCAGCGGGGGTGGCTGAGGCTCTGAGCTGGCCTCATCTGGAAGGAGAGGTGGGGGAGGACCGTGCCCTACCCTGGAGCCACCAGCTGCTCCCCACAGCAGCAAAGGGCCCCTAGGTGAGGCTGGCAGGACCGGGGGCAGAGGCTGGCCAGGCCAAATGCCTGAGAGACGGGGGCCCAACTGGCTCAGAGGGGGCCAGGAGCCCCCGTTGCCCGGCCTGGCTTGGCACGGCCTGCCAGCTGGGTGGCTCCTGTGTGAGAGATGGAGACATTGGTCACTCACATTCCCATCACCTTTCTAATGGCGCTAATTAACAACCACCAACGCTCAGCCCTAGATAAATTGATGGAGGACAGGTCTATCAGTGGCTACTAGCCAGGCTGGGTGCAGGGATGGTGTCCCTGGCCTCTGTTTGCCAGAAGCTGGGAATGGGCGATGGGGGATGAGTCACTCGATGATTCCCTGTTCTGTTCAGTCCCTCTGGGGCACCTGGCGTTGGCCACTGTCGGAAGACAGGACACTGGGCTAGATGGACCCTTGGTCTGACCCGCTATGGCCATGCTGATGTTTTTCCCCAGTGCGTTCCCAGCAAGGATCCCACAGCATTTTGCAAACATCAATGAATGAACGGTGCCAGTACAATGGGAATGATGCTACATGTGGGGAAACCGAGGCACAGAGAGGCTAAACTACTTGCCCAAGATCACACAGCCAGGGATAGGACCCAGGAGCCTGACTACCAGCACCTCCCACATGCCCAGAGGCCACTCTGCAGGCATCCTGCCTCAGTTTCCCCTCTCCAGGGCCCCTTAAATCAATAACTCCACCAGAGGCTCTCCTGTGGCCAATAATACCCCTCCATGGGGGCTGGGTTTAGTAACTGATAATACGCAGAGTCCCCAAACAGTCCATCAATGCCACATTCATCTCCAGCAGCCTGTGGGCACCCCAATGCTGTGCCTCATCCCAGCCTGTCCATATGGCGCTATCGCTCCAATCCAGCCCCTTCCAGCCAGAACCCCCCACCCTGCCTGGGGTCTATTCTTGCTCAGGAGAGGGCTCCATACTCTCCCCATGCTGGGCCCTCAGCTGAGCACCTGGCTGCAGCTGCAATCCCAATCCCAATCCCAATCCCAATCCCAAACCCACCCCCTGCTCTTTGCAGCCTCAGGCACTGCCCCACCTCTGGCTCTTTATAGAGAGGAGGTGCCCTCAATCAGGCCCCATCAAGAGGCTGCTAATGAGGCTCAGATGGGCCCGAGAAGCTGCATTTTAAAGAGCCCAGTTCACTCTGTGATGCCCCATGTGCCCTAACCACTAGACCCCACTCTCCTCTCAGAGCTGGGATAGAACCCAGGAGTCCTGGCTTCCAGCCCCCATCTCTAACCACTGGACCCCACTCCCCTCCCAGAGCCGGGGGTAGAACCCAGGAGTCCTGGCTCCCAGCCCCCCATCTCTAACTACTGGACCCCACTCCCCTCCCAGAGCCGGGGGTAGAACCCAGGAGTCCTGGCTCCCAGCCCCCACTCCCTACGAAGAGCAGGGGGAGGAGAGTCTCTTTCTAGGAGCTGCGGAGCAGGGAGTGACCGAGATGCCAGGGTCTCTGTCAGGGAGGGGCCGATCCTGGTAGCTGAGACACACAGATTTGGGGGTGGGGGAGGGTCGGTCTCACCCTTAGCCATGCACCTCCCACTGGGGTGCTCCGCACCCCACCCGCCCCTGCGTTCGCTCTCCCCCGACCGACCAGAGTCAAGGGGACGCCCCCGGAGTCTCTCTCCCTCTCTCCTCTCCTGGAAACCTAAGACGCCTCCTGTCCCCAGGGCTGCTCGCTGGCATCTCGGCACATCCATTAGTGGCAGGGCTGGCCAGGCCCGCGGGCTCCCTGCTCTCTATTGATGAGTCTGCTTCAGATTCCCCCCCCACCCGCTGCTTGACGCCCCCGCCCGGGAGGCTGCTTTGTCTCACAACTGGGTCGATGCAGCAGGAGTGCTGAGAAGGGCCCAGCCCCGGGCAAGCTGCATGGGGCTGGGGAAAGCCGGCCGGGGAGGGGGCAGGAGAGCTGGGGCGTTTGCTCTGGATGGGGGGGACAGTGAGAGGGGGGTGTAGGGAGGCAGGGCCGGCTTTAGGCCAATTCCACCAATTCCCCCAAATCGGGCCCCACGCCTAAGAGGGCCCCGCGCCCAGTGGCAGGGCCACCCATAGTGGGGGGCAAGTGGCAGAGAATCCCTTCCTTGGCTAGAGGCGCCTTTTTAATTTTTACTCACCTGGCGGCGCTCCGTGTCTTTGGTGGCACTTTGGCGGCGGGTCCTTCAGTGCCACCGAAGACCCGGAGCGAGTGAAGGACCCACCGCCAAAGACTAGGAGCTCGGCCCACTGAGTACAAGCCCCACGTGTTGTTTTTACGTGTTTTTTTTAGTCATCCCTGACGGGGCCCCGTCGAAACTGTTCGAATCGGGCCCCGCACTTCCTAAAGCCGGCCCTGTAGGGAGGCAGTGGCTTGAACAGTCCTGGAGCAAGGAGGCAAACCAGGCTGGCACTGTCTCTGGGGTGGGGCAGGTCCCCGGTCTCACTGCTGGCCCAGGGCCCCAGAGCCGGCTGATCGGGCAGCCAGATGCTGGGGAGCGAGGCCAGGACACCAGGGCTAACGGGACGGTTCCCAAAGGGGCTCAGGCAGCTTGCAGGGCACAAGGACACAGGACTTGGCTCCCCCAGTATCACGGTGCCCCCTGGCGTCGCACTGGGGTCAGCGCTGACTGGAAGGGGAGGAGCCCCCCTAGCCCCACCCCGACAGCACCTGGGGTTCCTGGGAACGTCTCCCAGCCCTGCTTAGCAGGTGGCACTGACGGGTCTGCGGGCTGAGCAGCGGGGTCGCTGGGCGCCTGCAGGGGGAACAGATGGAGCATGGTGGGGCATTGCTGGCTAGGAGCTGAGCCCGCTGGGCTCTGCATGGAATGGGTGTGGTCCTCCCCCAGCCATTGCCGGGCGGTTCCCAGCTCGGAGTGAGGCCTGGCTCTCCTGGCTGGGAGCTCACCTGAGACCGACCCAGAGCTCGGCCTGGCCCCAGAGGCTGCTGCGTGGCAGGCTCCTGGCAGCGTCTCGGAGAGGTCCCTGGGTGCTGAGCCGCCGGCTGCAGCCCTGGCTGGGCTAGGGGACTGTCTCTCTTGTCGGTGGAGGAGCCGGGGGACAGCAGTTCCACCCCCACCACCCAGGGCGCCCTTTGCCTCGGCCCCAGACTTGGAGACCATGGGGGTCGAGGTGCTAGGTGTGAGTCCCCTGACCAGGCCCTGCAGCTGCCCAGAGCCTCTGACCTCTGTGACCCCAGAGCACATCCGGGGAGGGGTTAGTGACGGGGGTTGGGAGCGATGCAGTGGGGTGTGTGTGGGGAACCTCGGCTGCTCGCCAGGGAAAGGAGAGAGAATCCAGGAGCTGGGACGGGGAAGCAGGAGGTAGAACGGGGGTGCAGGGTGCTTGGCGCACGCTCTCCGGGTCCCAGCTGCATGGGAGGGGGGTGGACGTGTCAGCGCAGGCCTCACGCCGACCCTGTCTCTGGGCTCAGCTGAACAGGTGGGATGTGGGCACCGGCCCTGGAGCAGGGGGAACCACGGCCCAGCCTGGCCCCTCCTGGGGAGGGAGCTTCTGCTCTGAGTCTCTTGGTCCTTGAGCCAACATTGTGCCAGGCTGGGCCCCCAAAGAGATCCGAGTGGCTGGGCCGGTGAGGAGGAGTCCAGAGCCCTTGTGACGCCCACGCCCCCTCCCCCACGATGCCACCGCCCCATCCCCTGCCCCATGGCACACCCGCGCCCCATCCCACGCGACCTCCCTGCCCCATCCCAGGCCCCTGCCCCATCCTCACGCGACGCCCCTGCCCCGTCCTCATGTGACGCCCCCGCCCCGTCTTACAAGAGCACACGAGGTCATGGCTGCTCATGCACCATTCCACAAGATGCTTGTGCACCATCCGGTGAGAGCACACGAGCCGCTCGTGCGCTGTCCCGGGAGCCGTCCCGTGGGAGCCCGTGGGCTGGGCTTCCTGCCTGTGTCCTGCGAGAGCCTGCGAACGGGGCTGGGTTGCTGAGCCAGGCGCCGGGTGAGGAGGCAGCCGGTGCGTCTCCTCCTGGGAAGCAGCCACCCTGCATGTCTCTCTCCAATTCCAGTGTCTTCCTGCTCAACGAGGTAACGAGGGTCCCGCAGCGACCGGGTCGGCCCGTCGCTGCTCTGCTCCGGGTGTCTGTCTAGCAGGGATGGGGGGGGCGGAGGATGCACCGTGGGGGGGGGGGGAGGAGGGGGGGGGGCTGGAGGGGGGGGGCTGCGGACGGGGCGGCCGGGGGCGGGCGCGGGGGTGCCCCCCCCCCCCCCCCCCCCCCCCCCCGGCAAGAGGCTACCGGGCGGTGAGGGCCGAGGGGCTGGAGTTCGGGCACAGCATGGAGGTAGGTGGGAGAGCTGGCTGCGGTGCCAGCCGGGCGGACGGGAACAGCAGGGCAGGCCCCAGAGAAAGCAGCCGAGGTGCTGGCTGGGACCGAGGGCCCCGCGCTGAATGGGAGCCTTCGCCCTCCAGCAGCGCGCCCGGCCCCACGGCGCTCACCCCGTCATGCTGCCCACTGCACCAACTCCCCCTGGGGCGGGAGTAGCCCAGAGCCCCCCTGCACTGCCACCTGCAGCACCCCCTGCTGGGACAGGCTGGGACTGGAGTAGCGGGGC